GAGCCCTGGCCTGGTTGGGGGCATGTGTGGGAGGCAACCAATTGATGTTTTCCTTTCACACTGTTGTTTCAAAAACCTCTCTCTCTCTCTCTCTGTCTCTCTGATCCCCTCCCTCTCTCCCACTCTCTCTAAAAATCAATGGGAAAATATCCTCGGGTGAGGATTAACAACAACAACCACACACACACACACACACACACACGCACACGAGCCATCTGCTCACATATACCAACTTCTCTCCACAGGCACAATCGTGCCACGGCACCAGAATACCAGTGGGCAGCGTGGGGGCTGATGCCGGCCAGCTTTACTCTCCTGGCAAGGGAGCCAAACGTTCGTGGGGAAAGTGTGGGGAATCACAGGGCCATGACTATATGGGGCCCATCTGGCCCTCCCCGGCTGAGTCCAGGTATTGATTATTGATTACAGAATAGGCACAGATGGTGCCAACCAGAGCCAGGCCCCGCAGTGGGGGTGGGGCAGGTACATACGAGTGTCCCGTCGGGGAGATGAAGTAGAGGCAGCAGTGGACACGAGTGTCCGGGATGCGTTTCTTCCTGGCGATGTTCACCTCCTCCTTCAGGAACTTCTCGTACTGCTCGTTGATGTACTTCTCAATGGGCTCCCAGCTGCGGGTGGGAAGCAGCAGATGCATGTCCCAGAGGAGCTCATCGTAGGCATGGACCTCACACCGGCTCATTTCCTACTTCCCCTTTCGCGGGGGCGCGGGGGGGGGGGGGCAGAGTGCCTGCTGACCATTCTCCCTCGGCCCCCACGGAGGGCTTTCCTTCTTAGCAAGGCTGGAGCTCCCCCGGGGACCTGGCCCTCGCCCCAGCTGTGGAGCCTGCAGACCCGCCGCACCCCAGAAAGCATCACACCCTGTCCCCAGCTCCCTTCCTTCTCAGTGGGGGCTCTGGAGAGGGCTCCGCCCCTTTCTGGGGCTGTTTTCTCATGAGTATTTCTCACGAGTGATAGTAGTGACCAGCGGGGTGCACACAGGATCAGAAAGGAAGGACGTTCGGTGGGGAACGTAGCCGTGGCACGCAGAAGTACTCGGTCACGGCGACAACTCACTGTCATGACCACGGTCCTCGTCATGATTACTTCTCTGCATCAAGGAGCATGCGTACAACCAGAGCAGAGGGCACCCGCCGCTTCTCTAAGGGCGTTCTAAGCTGCCTTGTTCGGTGGCCCTGCCTGTCAGCGGCAGAGCCCGGCTCCCTCGCAGAAGCACTGTGGTCTCCGTCCCTCTCTGAAAGCAAACTTCTGCCTAGAACCTTCCATCTTGGTGGCTCTCGGACTGCAGCTTTGCTCTGTGGATCCCAGAGGCTCTCTCCTCATGGCCACTCCCCCCCTCCTGATTCTCACTCACCCTCCCCTAACCAGGCCAAGCAGCTTGCGGCCTCAGCGCAGCCTGGGTTTGCCCCCAGGTCCCCTTGCTCCGTCTTCCCGGCCCCCGCGGCCACCTCCAGGGCATCCCTCCGCCAAAATTCCCTCTGCACTGTCCCCTCCACCCCCTCGCCCAGCCCCCCTCTGGACCTCTTCCCTCGCCTCCTTCAAACCCCTCTCCCATCCTTCAGGGAGACACAGCCCTCAGCGTGGAGGGCCAGGTGGTTCTCAAGTGGATGCACCTGCACCACACCAGCGCCTCCCTGTGGTCTTCAGGGCAGAGAGCTCCCAGGCAGACACGTACCAGTTTTCATTGTTGATCTGGTCTCCAAAGCCAGGCGTGTCGATGACGGTCAGCTTCATTTTGACGCCGCCCTCCTCTATCACTGGGGGGTGAGCAGGAAAGGCACCAGGGGGGTGACTCCTCCAGCTGGCGCAGGAGCCCTGCCGCCCCCCAGCCAGGGAGACCCAGGCTCCTTCCTTCTCATGACCAACTATGGGAAGAGTCAAGGTCGGCGACTTCCGCACCTCACACCTTCGCTCATGCTGTTCCCTGAACCTGGAATGGCCTCCCTACTTCCTTCTGCCTGCCCACCTCCCACGCGGGCCTTAGCGTCCCGCCTGAGCCCCATTGCTTCCCTTTCTAACCCCTCCTCCTCCCCCCTCTGGCCTTGCAGTCTGAGGAGTTGGCTCCATAGAGTTTAGGGCAGGGGTCCTCAAACTTTTTAAACAGGGGGCCAGTTCACTGTCCCTCAGACTGTTGGAGGGCCAGACTATAGTTTTAAAAAAAACTATGAACAAATTCCTATGCACACTGCACATATCTTATTTTGAAGTAAAAAAACAAAACGGGAACAAATACAATATTTGTATTTGCATGTGGCCCGCGGGCCGTAGTTTGAGGACCCCTGGTTTAGGGCTTAATTCTATTCTGTATCGAGGTTGCCTTTCCTTCGCCTCACTCCCCACTAAGCCCCATTCCCCCGCCTTCCTGGCAGAGGCCCTCTGGCCAGTGCCCGGGGTCCCCGCCGGGCCCTCACCGTGCCCAATAGCCTTGATCTCCACGGTCTTGGGGATCTTCTCCTCGCGGTTCCAGCTGGAGGCCTTGCGGCTCACTTGCGATTTGAAGAGCGTGTTGACCAGCGTTGACTTGCCCAGTCCACTCTGACCTGAGCAAGACAGGGGGATGAGAAGGCAGGGCCCCCATGGCCCGTCCTGAGCCCGATTAGCTCTCCCAGGCGCTTGCAGAATTCTGGAGCTGGCCACGCCCTGTTTGACAGGGAGGGAGGAGCTGAGCGGGGATTGCAGACTGGTTGGGGGCGGGGGCTGGGATGGTTTCCTGTGTGCGGGAGAAGGACTGGGGCCAACCTGTTAGAGCCCACACACTCCTGCCTGGAGCCCCAGGACCGTCAGCAAATGGGCCCACCTCTGCATTTGGGTGTGTTTTTGCTTAAATTTCTAGTCTTCACTTTAATACAGAAAATCATGGCGGAATTGCTTGGCACCGACACAGCCTCAGTGCGTGCGCACTTTCACAACGGGCCTTCCTTCAGCCCCGCGAATCCCACAGCAGAGCTACCTTTAATCCCTGCCAAGGTGTCCTGGAGAGATCAAGCCCCACCTAATGTAAAAGATGTGCAAGGCAACCTAACTCATAAGTGCAAGACAGGGCCTTGCCCTAACCAATTTGGCTCACTGGATGGAGCATCGGCCTGCGGACTCAAGGGTCCCAGGTTCGATTCTGGTCGGGGGCATGTACCTTGGTTGCAGGCACATACCTAGTGGGGAGCGTGCAGGAGGCAGCTGATCAATGTTTCTCTCTCATCGATGTTTCTAACTCTCTATCCCTCGCCCTTTCTCTCTGTAAAAAATCAATAAAATATATTTAAAAAAAAAAAAAAAAAGACAGGGCCTTGAGCCCCAGGAGCCTCTTGGCCCATAGCCACTCTTTACCCTCATCTGTAAAAAATCAATAAAAATATTTTTTAAAAAAAGACAGGGCCTTGAGCCCCAGGAGCCACTTGGCCCATAGCCACTCTTCACCCTCGCGCTGCGGTGAGCATCTTGTGGAGATAAATGCCCGGAGGACCCTGTGAGAGGAGGAGGAAGCTGAGTGGGCAGGGCCCGCCCCTCACCTCCGCTTCCTTCACCAGGGCGCCCTTTTAGGCCGTTTTACATGCACAGGTCGACAGATTTCGATCCGGGGTGTAAATGAAAAGGTGCCCCACAACGAAAAGGCACTGAAACCTTTTAAGTGCCTGGTCCGAGCAGCGCTTCTCAAATTCTGACGTGCACAAGGATACAGCAAGCCTTGGCCCCGATGAGCGGCCTCGGCATCGCCTGGACGCTGGGAGGAAACGCAGGAGCCCAGACCCCCCAACCCCCCCCAACCCTGATATTTTCAGAATCTGCATCTTAACGGGCTTCCAGAAGAGTCATGCAGACAGGAGTCAGCGCTCCTGTGCTAGGTCAGGGGCAAGGGCCTGAGTTCTAGACCCAGCTGTTCTGTTTCCCGGGCGCCTAGGAATGGCCGTGTTTGGCCCTCTAGTTTCTTTACTGATAACGTGATGGGAGGGAAGGGACTGCATGAGACCAGGGACGGCAAATAAGCTGCATTTCTCCCTCCAACTGATCCATTGGTTGTAGCCACCAAGCCCGATCTGTTAAAGAGGCTACATCTGGGCTCAGGTGCCAGGACGCAGCAGCAGTGTCTGCCATGGCGCTGCTGGGGACAGAGGTGGCCCACACGTCTTGTACTCGCCATTCATGTCGGGACGTTTTCTAAGGTCATTTGTTCACTAAGTATGCATGTGCGCCGAGTGCTGTGCTAGAAGTGGAGACAGAGTGGGAAGTGAGACATCATCCTTCCCCTCAAGGACCCATTTAGTGTGAGAGAGACCAAAACATAAGCAGACAATTACAATATGTTGCCATGACCACTACGAAAGCGATAACCACAGGGTGTTATAGCAGCAAACGGAAGGGAATCCAATCCAGTCTCTCTGGGATCCAGGAGGACTTCCAGGAAGAAGCAATAACTAAGCCGAAAGCTGAAGAGTGACTTTGAATGACCCATGAGAAGCTGGAAGGGGTTTCTAGACAGAGGGAACAGCATATGCAAAGGCTCTGAGGTAGGAAAGAGTATGTCAAGAACATCCAGGAGAACTGTCCCTTGTGAGTAGAATGCTACATGGAGGTGGTGAGAGAAGTGTGGAGAGGCAGTACCAGGCCAGGCTAGCAGTTCAAACCCTTACACTTACCATACTGATGGGTGGCCTGATGAGTTTTGCAGTTGGAAAAATTATTCGGATACTGGTGGACAATGGATTGAACAGGAAGGGAGACAGGAGGGGGTCAATGCCCCTCAGAGTGTGGCTTGCAGCCAGGGTCCATGAACCAGTTGTTACTGGTTCTTGAGAGAAGAAGTTTGCACCAGAAAGTACGTCAACGATGTCACTAAGTACACTGTTTAGTTTAGCCGATGTTTATATTAGCACGATTTTCCAGTGGTCTGCACTGTGGCCCAGCAAACATCTGGGCCGTAATCACTATGAGCTGCACTGAGTCAGGTGGCCGTGGCAGGCCAGGTGAGAGGCTGGCTCGGCCCAGGGAGGTAGCCGTGGAGATGGGGAGAAGTAGACTGACCTGAGAGAGATTTACAAGTGAAACCGACAGGACTGGATTGATTGGCTCGGGACATAAAGGAAGAAGGATGAGGCCCAGCGACGGACTGAACACCTCACCTCACCGAGATCACTCTGTGACCTGGTGACTCTACTTAGCGACCGGTCGGTGCCCCTAAGCTTTACGGCACTACTAAAGGCCAGAGATAAGGCCACCCGCCATCAGCTCTCGGAGGTGGGGGAGGACACTGATGAGTCCCCCATGCACACCCCTGAAAGCAGGCCGGACATGCCTAAAGGCTGCCTATGTCCACCAGCTGGTGATGGGGCCCGGCTGACCACCCCCCACAGCTCCCAGCCCCGGATCAGCGAGCCTTAAGGGGAGACGGGGGTCAGGCCTCTGTGATCAGCACAGTGAGATCTTCCCTCCTAGAAAGAGCTCATCCTCAAGAAGCCAGGGCCGAGGTCATCCCTGCGACAGAAAGAGATCCTCCGTGCTACCCCCCACCCGGGGGGGCCCCGCGGCCTTCCGTACCGACGACCATGATGTTGAAGTCGAACCCGGTCTTCATGGTCTTCTTCCGCATCTGTTCGATGATGGTGTCGATGCCAATGTAGCCCAGCAGGTTGGTGTTGATGCTGACGGGCTTCATGGGCACGGCCGGCTTAGGCCTGGGCTCGGGCACCAGCTCCGACATGGCTGCGTCCGTCCTGGTCTCTGGGAGCCCTGCCAAGGCGGGAGGGTGGGCTGCTGAGGCCACGGAAGCCGCAGTGCTGCTCACCGACACAGGGTCATACAGGGCGGGGACGGCAAGGGGCCTTAGATGTCATCCGCTGCGGGTCCCCCATTTCACAGGCGGGGAAACTGAGGCCCGGAGGAAAGGACTGGCTTAAGAGCACAGAGCAAGTCAGGTGCGAAGTCTGGACCAGACCCGTCCTCCAGCTGCTGGGGCCGCCTCCAATGCACTCGGGGCTCCAAAGCACCACAGCTGGGTGTCTGACCCAGGGCTGTGTCCTCTTGGCACGACTGACCATTTTGGGGGAATAATTATTGTGGGGGGCTGTCCTGTGCCTTGTGGGATGTTCAGTGGCCTCCCTGGCCTCTACTAGATGGAAGAGCCCCCCAGTAGTGACAACCAGAGGACATTGTGCCGGATGTCCCCTGGGGGCAGGTGGCCCGAGTGGAGAAACCCTGGTCTAAGCGATGTCTGGGGTTACTCCAACCTGCGTCCTGCCCCCCCACCCCCACATAAAGGGCCCAGACCAGTTAGGATGCTGGACCTAACTTCAATGGACATCTGCCACTGACCACAGCTGCTTCGTCCTTTAGAAGCAAACAGGGCCAGCCCTCTGCAGAGTGCGCGTCAGTCCGTCTCCCAGCCTCCGTGCCCCTCTGTCCCACAGGCACCACTGCCAATCAGGGTGTCTGCGCCCTGAGGAGCCCCAGGCACCCTCCTCCCTAGAGCTTTGAATCTGTGGGAAGAATAGGTCTCCCCTTTTGACCAGCAGGGAGAGGATGAGACCCAGGGAGGGGCAGTCACTTGCCTGAGGTGGCGCCGTGTGTTCTGGGGATGGTGGGTGGCAGAGGAGAGGGGAGGCTGAGGAACAGCCCTGCTCCAGTGGGGAAAGGCGCCCGTCCCGCTGGGCTGGCAGGTCCTGGGCATCTCCACACACAAGAGAAGCCTGTGCGTTTCCCCATCGGGCCACTGTCCACCAGGCTAGGTTTCAGGACAGCAGCCGCGTTTCCCCATCCAGAAAACGGGGCGTGTGTGGTGAGGCGGGAAGAGCGTGGCTCGGCTACTCGCCAGCTCTGTGGGCTTGGACGAGGCACCTGCCCCCAGGAGCCCACTTCCTCGTGTGTAAACTGCTTAGGATCATGGTGAAGGCTGTGGTGAGCATTACATGAGGTATGAGGCCTAGAAGCACCCACACGGCGCCTCCCAGTTCCAGCCCCTCTTGCCCCTCCCACTTTCAAGTTCACTGGCTTGTCAGAGGGGGAGATGAGGTGGTGCGTGTGAAAGCACGTGTCCAAGGGTGGTATCCAGGTGCTAATTACACTGCGCAGCTACTGGACGCCACACTCGCTCCAGCACCCCTTCCAGTCTGCCATTCCAGAATCCTATGGTTCCGCCCTGCAGCCTCAGGCTTACAGGAGAGCTGATGGAACAGCCGGTGGGCAAGAGGGCGAGAGGATGAGAGCTCCGCCGTCCTCTACCCCCAAACCCAGCCAGGAGTCTGCTCTCATGCCCCACCACCTGGTCCTTCCCTGGGTCTTGGCAAGACTCTCTCTCCCAATGGGAAAATGTTCTTTCCTTGTCACTCTCCGACACAGCCAACTCTGACAAATCTTTGGGTCCTCCCCAGGGCCTGGCTGGGCTCCCTCCTGCTTCCCAGGAAGCTGGTGCTAGCCAGGCGCTGGCAGCGAGAGATTGGCTCAGCCCCGCAGCAGCTGACTCTCAGGCCGGGCCTGCTCCCCAGTCTCCACACGTGGCTCGCAGTCAGCACCCCTGCACTGGGGCCAATGCCCCATTTTTCCTGCCCAGCTGCTCACATGCTGGCCCTTTCCATTTCCCTGGTGCCTCGAAGCTGAGCCCATTTGGTCTCCACAACCTGTGCTGGGAGATCTGGGGGAACAACCCATTTCACACCCCTGGAAAGTGAGTCTGGTACTTATTTATGGGAGTTTTTCTAAGTGTTCTTATAAAGTGGGTGTCCTCACCACGGCCTGCTCAGCCCTGGCCCGTCAACGCGCCTTCCTAAAAGGGCATTATTCCCCAAAGACGGACCCTGATTCCCAGGCAACTCCTCGGGGCTACGGCAGGCGCGGCAGGTCCAGCGCCTGAGCAGACCTCCCCTTCCTCCTCCCAGCAAGCACCTGTCCACACTTATTGTGTCCCTGTGAAGAGCACCTGCTGGCAAGCCCCCCCAAAACACGTGCCAATGACACATCAGTTACATGCTAACACCCTCCAGCCATGAGTGCTGAGAAGGCTGGGCGGCCACTGTGTCACAGCCGTTGCTGAAGGACCCTGCCCACTGCAGCCACGGGCTCATTCCTGCTCTCCTTTCACCATCGGCTCAAGGGCTACCCCTCGGGAGTGCCTCCGCTTTCCCGCGGGTGCAGACGCCCTCCTTCTGCGCTGCCTCAGCCATCTCGGTACCCATCTCATTCACTCATCCATGCACCACGGGTTCCATCCACCCCGCCAGGCCCTCTCACATGCGGTCAGATGGGAGCCTCCTCCAGCCGAACCCTAGACTAAATACCAAGGACACTTTGGGTCCCCAGACAAGGTCATTGCCCCCAAGGGCCCTCTCTCTGCTGAGAGTCCCTGACAAGTACACAAAGACCTCCAGGGTGCAGGACAAATACTGATCGCTGTGCCCCAATGTCCCTAGCATAACACAGGCACTCAGCTATGAATGAATGAATGAATGAATGAAGAATGAATGAATGAATGAATGCCTCACTGCGAGTCAGCTGTCACTTTTCTCCTCCCTCAGAAGCTCCTCTAGCAGAGCAGCTGACACCCAGCCAGCAGCCGGCTCTGTGTGTGGGTCACCGGCAAGGGGGTAGACTCTGTTAAAGACCTGCTTCCTCCCCCACAACAAGGGTCGCAGGGTCACAGCAGGACACAGCTCAAGCAGGCCACCCTGCCTCCATGGTCCTTGGAGCCCCTCCTAGGCTCCCAGCTCTCCCAGGGCCCCGGGAGGAGGAGAATCTGTGTGCGGCACCGGCACCCCCTGCCAGGAGCCACCTGCCCCATCAGCGCTCCCGGCTCCCGGGAGAGGCACTGTCCACCTGACTCAGTTCTGAGTCCCCCACAGAAACGGCACCTCCGGCACCTGCCCAGCCAGGACCCGGTGCTTTCTGTTACAGGCAAATGAGTGGCTTTGTCTTTGTCTGGCACGGGGACCCCACCCCTCAATTGGGAAGGTGGCAGCAGGGGGAGGAGACCTTCCGGAAGAGCACCTGCCTCCTGCGCTCAGTGGGGTGGGGGGTGGGGAGGCCCTTCCTTCCTTCCTGAGCTTCAGACCGTCCCCAGACCCCACCCCACCGGCACCCGCACCCTCAGAGGCAAATTCGGTCCACCCCATCGCCAGCCCCCGCTCTCGGAAAAAGAATCACAAAAGCTACCTTAGTCCTGGCCGATTGGCAGGAGCCACGGGCCCTGGGACACCCCTTCCCCCACCCAGCTCTCCGGAGGCCAGCGAGTTCCCTGGGAGACCACCAGCTGGTGCCCGGCGGGTGTGGGGGAAGGGGCCGCCTGCGTGTGAGCGCACAGGTCTGCATCGGGTGTAGGTGGCCTGATACCTGTGCGTGGCGGGCATGTGCGTGCGTGTCTGGGTGTGCGCCAGTGCGGGGCGTGCTGTGCGCATCTGGGTCCCGACTTGCGTGTCGGAGGGTCTCGGTGCCGCCCGCATTACCGTGGGTGGATTCTCCGGGAATGTGTATCTTGGGGTGTGTGCACCGTGTGTGCGTGTGCCTGTGCATATGTCACCGCGCGTGGGCTCCTGGCGCAGCCCCCCTCCCCCTGGTAGCACCTCCAGCCGGGCTTCTGGGGGGCCCTCACCTCTTCCCGGCGGGCGCCGGTGGCCCGGCCAGAGGCCCTACCTTTGGACATGAATCCTCCTTTGTCTCCGTTC